TCCAGCCTGGGTAACAAGAGCAAAACTCCTCCTAAAAAAAAAAAAAAAATTACCTGAGTGTGGTGGCGGGTGCCTGTAATCCCAGTTACTTGGGAGGCTGAGGCAGGAGAATTGCTTGAACCCAGGAGGCAGAGGGTACAGTGAGCCGAGATTGTGCCACTGCTTTCCAGCCTGGGTGGCAGAGTAAGACTCTGTCTCAAAAATATATATACATATATCCCTTCCAGGATGCACAGGAGGTGCTGAGCCTTCCACTGGTCCACCAGAGGGATGGGCAGTTAAAATAAAAATTGTTGGAGTCTACCCCCAGAGTGTCTGACTAGTGGGGGCGAGAATGTGCATTTCTAGCAAGTTCCTAGGTGGTGCTTATTGGTACACAGAGAACACTTTGAGAACCACTCTTCAGAGGTAATAAAAGTTTAGCTGTACATGTGACTACCCAGCTAAAGACTACATTTCCCAGCTTCCCTTGTAGACAGATATGGTTACATGATCATTTCTCAGCCTATAGCATGTGAGGAGAAGTGGTATGTGCAACTTCTAGGCCTCAAAGAGGAGCATATCTTCCCTTTCCCTCTTTTGGCTGGAATGTAGGCTTGATGGCAGGCGCTGGAGCAGCCATCTTGCGTGTCAAGGATGCAGAGCAACAAAACAGAAGGAGCCTGCATTGAGGAGTCCCCACATTTGTCTGGATTGCATCTCTGCCTTTTGTCGTGAGAAAGCAATAAACCATTATCTCATTTAAGCTCTTGTAAGTTGGGGACTCTTTGTTACAGCAGCTGAAACAATATACTGAAAAACAGGCCAGGCATGGTGGCTCATGTCTGTAATCCTAGCCTTTGGGAATCCAAAGCGGACTGATCACTTGAGGTCAGGAGTTCAAGACCAGCATGGTGAAACCTCATCTCTACTGAAAATACAAAAATTAGCCGGGTGTGGTGGCGCACTCCTGTAATGTCAGGTACTCAGGAGGCTAAGCCAGGGGAATCACTTGAACCTGGGAGACAGAGGTTCAGTATATATATACACTGAAAAACACATAGTTCATACACAACAATCTAACACCACCATTCATGACTACAAGCCAAACACTGACCTACAGCCATCACTCATTAAGTCCTCTTAAGTACCCTGAGATGAACCATTACTATTCCCATCTTACAGATGAGGAAACTGAGGCCTAGAGAGGTAGCATTCCTATATTCAAACCTAGACAGCCATGCTCTGCCCTTCACCCTACACCTCTTCAGGAAATTTTCAACTCTTCAGACGAGTGCCAGCATGGTTCCTTTAAGAAACTGGCTGGTGGCCGTGACCACAAGGGCACAGCCCAGGACTGCAGCCAGATGGGGTATTGCCACTCACCGTAGACCCGCTGCCACCAAATCAGCACAGCTGTGAATCCACAGAAGAAGAAGACACAGCCCATCACTGTCTTCCATTCATTGGAGCGACGGTTCATCTCCGCAAAGGTCTGATGGTACTGGAGCCGGTACACTGGAGGCAGGGGGGTGTGGGGAAGGGCCTCAGGTGCGTCCACTCTAAGTGATCCCTGTCTCCCGCTCCCTGAGCAGATGCTGTTCATTCAGCAGATTCTTACTGAGCATGTACTGTATGCACAGCATGGTCAGAAACAGGTGACAGCAGTGAATGAACCAGATGAAAATCCCCGCTCTTGTGGAGCTTAGAGGGGGAGACGATGGCAAATGCTTCAGGCAAACTGTTGGGTGGCCAGGGAAGGTGTCTCAGAGGAGGTGACATTAGAGCTGAGGCTTGAAAAATCAGTGGGAGAAAGCTGGTGAAAACTGGAAGTGCAAAGACCCTGAAGCAGGAAGTGGGTAGGGAAAGGCTGAAGTGAGGACCACTGTGGCTGGAGTGAAATGAGCAAA